AGGGAGGCAGTGAGGGACGACTCAGGAGGACGAGGAAGAACAGACGGAGGAGAACGAGGAGGACTAGGACGAAACAACACGGTACGAAGGTCACGGACAGGTGACGAGGGACGAGCACGAGGAGGACGAGAGGCCCAAGTGTGGGAGAGAGGAGTGGGAGACGGAGCGGGAGACGGAGGAGACTGAGAACGAGGGAACACAGCCGGAGCTGAGTCCGGAGGAGGAAACGTCGGACCGAACACAGGAGGAGAGGAGGAGGGGAGACCAAGGGCCCGAAGGCCAGTAACAGAGGCCGGAGGCTGCTCCGGCTGCTGCGGCGGCTGCTGCTGCTGCTGCTGCTGCGGCGGCGGCTGCTGCTGCTGCTGCTGCTGCTGCTGCTCCCGCTGCAACTCCAGCCTCTCACGCTCCACCCGCTGCTGAACCTCCAACCTCTCACGCTCCAAACGCTGCTGCTCCTCACGCTCAAGACGAAGACGGGTCTGGTGTCGAGTCAGGTAGGGGTGAGGAGGAGGAGTGGTGTCAGGAGACGAAGAAGAAGAACCGGCTCCACCCTCAACAGCACCCGGCTGAGAACCCCCAGAGCGTGTACCCCCTGCGGCAGCACGACTAGTACCTGTAGGAGGTGGACCCGCACCCCCAGTCGGGGTGCCTCCAGTGGCACCAGCACCAGCCTCAGACTCTCCAGCTCCAGAAACACCACCAGCTCCAGCACCACCAGAACGGGCAGCCGCGGCGGGTGCACGCTCAGCGCCAACGCCAACACCCCCAGAACGGGCGGCTCCTGTAGGTGCACTAACAGCTCCAACGCCAGCACCCCCAGAGCGAGCACCGCCAGAGCCCTCACCCCGAGCACCAACACCCTCAGAGTCCGCAGTGGCCGGTAAAGGAAGCGCTGACGGCTGCTGCGGAGGCTGTGAGGACGACTGTGGGGAAGGAGGTGAGACCTGGGGGGGTACCGAGGGGGGGGGAGTAGCGTGGGACACACCAGACGGAGCAGGACCAGGGGGGGTACCGGAGGAGCAGGGGCGGGAGGAGGAGGAGCTGGAGCCAGGAAGAGGGGAGGGGGGGGAACCGGGAGACCTCGACAGGGGTACCGGACGTAGTAGGGGACAGACTCGTCGAAACGGACGTCACGAGAGTCAAAGAACCGGTGGGAGGGAGGGTGGTAAAAGGTGAAGTCAGAGGAGGCCTCAGGGAAACCAAGGAAGACACAGGGGACGCCGCGAGGTGAGAGCTTGTCCGCAGAGGTGTCGCGGACAAGCGCCAAGCAGCCCCAGACACTAAACCTCGACGCAACACCAGGGGACCCTGTCCAAAGACTGGTCGGTGAAGCCCCTGGCCGAGAGACGCGAGGCCAGAGGTTCAGCTGGTGAGCGGCGTACCGAGCCGCGTAGGGCCACAGAAAATGGGGCGCGCGGGCGTGGATCATGGAGGTGCGGGCAATCTCCATGACCAGGCCTAGCCGGCGCTCAGCAACCCCATTCTGCTGTGGAGAGTCTGGAAGAGTCCAGGACTGGGTGATGCCCTGCTCAGCACAGAATCTGGCGAGAACGCCGGAGCGAAACTCACCCCCACGGTCGGAGTGGAGACAACTGACACGACGACGACGAGTACTCTCGGTGGCGAGCAGCCACCGGATCAGCGTAGAAGTCACGTCGGACTTCTTCGCCAAAGGGAACACGGTGGTGTACCGAGAGTAGTCGTCAACGACCACTAGAAAGAAGCTCTCTCGCTCAGGGCCAAGCCGGGAAGCGGGGCCCCAGACGTCTAAGTGGAGTGTCTCAAAGGGCTCGGAGGCTGGACGAAGGGAGGAGGAGTGGCGCGCAGCCGACCCTGGACACAAGGACCGCACGGAGGAGCGGGGGACGGCGGGAGCGGCGGGAGGTCGCGGGGGAGGCCTAAGACAAGACGCTGACTGGACATAGCGCGGAGACGAGAGAGGGACGGGTGACCAAGGCGGTGGTGCCAGAGGAGGACAGGGTGGGACAGCGACCGACACGAGCACGACGCAGCCACTAGACCTGGCACAGCTACCTGACTGGACCTGGCTACCTGGTGGGACGGGGGAACCGGACGGGTGTCGGTGTGGAGGGTGTACAGACCAGAGCCCGACTCCTGACGAAAAGTGGCCAGAGGGGCGTACGTGTCACCGTCCACACAGACTGCAGTGTCACCAGAAGGCTCAAACCAGACCCCGACGTGCTGTCTCGCCAGAGGAGCCACACCAACCAGGTTCCTAGAGAAAGTAGGAACGTGGAGGCCGGTCAGAGAACCGGAAGGGGCAGCTGGGCACGGGAGGGTAGTGGCGTGAGTCGCAATGACCGGTCCCGAAGAGGGATCAGCCAGTGCTACAGGAACCGGCGCCGAGAGTGGAGTAAGAGTCGTGCTGTCGCGGAAGAAGCACTGCGTCGCTCCGGAGTCCAGTGTGAAGGAGAGCGACGCGTCCGCCGAGGGAGCACCTGTACTAGTAGCTAGACAGGATCCTACACCAGCACCTACTCTAGCAACAGGCAAAGATCCTACGCTAGGTACAGGCAAGTAAACAGATCCAGCAGCACTATAGTCAACATCAGCATACATCGCATAAGACCTAGCATCATCCATAGACATATCAAACACCGCAACACCACGAGCAAGGAGTGGTCCCCAGCGCGGTGGCGGGGGAGCGGAGGGGCCGTGGTGCAGGACGTACAGGTCGTCGAGACGGCTGAAGCAGCGTGCAGCAGAGTGGTCAGGGCGGCCGCAGTACGTGCCCCTGCGCGGACCCGTCAGGATCCAGTACTCACAGGGACCAACGTCGCGGCCGGCCGAGCGGGGTCCCCGACTAGAAGGGGCACCACTGCGCCCAGTGCTCGGGGGGCCCGTAGGTCTCCACTGCTGCGGGGGGCCCCACTGCTGCGAAGGACCCCACTGCTGCTGAGTGCCCCACTGCTGCTGAGTGCCCCACTGCTGGGGCTGCTGCTGAGGCGGACGCTGCTGCTGGCCCTGGCGCTGCTGCTGCTGTCCAGGCGGTGGCAGCTGCGGAGGAGTCTGCTGCTGCTGCTGCGGAAACCCCTCACCACCGTCTAGAGGAGAGCCGTCAGGTCCCGAGTCACCCCCGCCGCCACCCCCGCCACTAGTACTACCGCCACCGCCGCCACCCGCAACACCCCCAGAACCCCCGCCGCCCTTCCCTCCCTTCTTGCCGGACTTGCCACGTTTCTGTCCGCCAGAGACAGAAACGGCCGCCGTCTCCTCAGAGGCAGAAGACGCGGCAGTGGCAAGCGAGGCAGTGAAGGTGGGAAGCTGTGGTACCGCACACCCCTCAAAGAGACGAGGAGGAGGCGCGGAAGAGGCGGAGGCAACAGCGAGGAGGTTACTCTCGATCTTCGAGAGAGCGGTCTCAAGAAGATCGATAGTAAGCTCAGTGGGGTGCTTCAGGAGAAGCGCGTCGCGGGCTGTGGCTAGACGGTCAGGGAGGCGAGTGACTAACCAGTGAATAGTGAGCCACATGGGGGGGGGTGCAAGGGCAAGCTGTTCCTCAGTGCAAGCGGCCTTGAAGCGAGCTTCAAGGGAGCGCAGGTGGGTAGCGAGGTCAGCGACAGTCTCAAAGGAGGCGAGGTCAGGGTAGATAAAGGGGACGAGAAGGCGGCTGAGGGAGGCAGAGGAGGGAGTGGAGTAGCGAGCAACAATAGCAGTGTAAAGGGCTGCAGCAGACTCGACCTGAGTGAAGTGGACGGCCTCAGTCGGCGGGAGAAGGTCGGTCAGGGCGAGGCAGGCAGCAGCGTCACGAGACTCCCACACGTCACGAGCGAGGAACCGGCGCTGGTACTCAGCCTCCTGCTCGGAAGTAGGCGGTGGGGTAGTGGGCAGCGGTGTAGGCTGCGGCGGGGCGGGCAGAGCACCGGACGCATGCGCAAACAGGTGCACGCCATCCTGGCGCTGGCTCCTAAGGTGGCGCTGGGCCTGCGTCAGCCAGGTACTAAAGTCGATCGCGCGCCCCTCAGGGTCGAAACGGAGCACGCGAGACGTCGCCATGAGGGGCGAGAACAAGTGATAGCGGCCGCCAGCCGCGAGAGGAGGAGGAGAGGGAGGTGAGTGCGAGGCGGGTGCGCGCAGGCGGGGCGCGTTCTGGCTGGGCGCGGGGCGGCGGGGCGCGCTGACTGGCGTGGCGCGCGGGCGCGGCGCGCTGGCGGGCGGCTAGGCAGGGCGCGCGCTGGCGGGCGCGGCGCGCTGGCGTGCGCGCCGGCGGGGCCCGCTGGCGCGGGGCGCTGGCGGGCGCGCTGGCGTGCGTGCTGGCGGGCGCGCTGGCGGGCGCGCTGGCGCGCTCGCTGGCGGGCGCGCTGGCAGGCGAGCTGGCGGGCTCGCTGGTGTGCCCGCTGGCGGGCGCGCTGGCGGGCTGGCGTGCAAGCGGGCTGGCGCGCAGGCTGGCCGGCGCGTGCGCTGGCTAAGGGCGGGGAGGGGAGGGGCGCGCCGGCTGGGGCGTGGGGTAGGGCGCTGGCGGGCTGGCGGGGCGCAGTGGTAACCCTAATGGTAGGGACGGGCGGGCCTAGGGCTAGGAGCGCTAACCTACTGCTGATACCATGTCTGAATGAGAACTACAGCGGAATGTGTTGCATTGACAGAATTGGGGTACATAACCTAACCCTAACTAGTTGTACCCCATATAGCCCAACCCACTACAGGCTATAATATTTGACATCAATCCCTGCCAAGTTGCTCGAGAGTCAAATTCGCGACCCCATATATTTTCGACTCGATTACAATTGGCAGAACGAGATCTACAGTTTGGTGTTAAAAAAATAACTTAATTTCATTTTGCCGTTATATAAACGCCGGCGCTTATAAATTTCCTCAATTATAAGCGCACCCCCTAAAAAACAGTGTTTTATTACAACCCCAGGGGCGCTTCTATCCGGGGTATGACGGTACTTAACATCCCATACCCTAGTACAACCCAACTTAGCCTACTAAGTGTGTAGACGCAAATGTGTGTGCTTTGACATATCCACATCAAGCACCTAGTTTCTTTTCTTAAGCACGGCCTGTAACACGGCAGAGCCCATGAACACGCCTATGGCCGGTTGGAACAAGGGGTCCCAGAGCTTCAACCACGCTAGTAGCAGGCCGTCGTCATTCGAGATAGACCGCTGCAGCACACCCGTTAGAAACCAGACAAGAGCGATGGTGATTAAAAAGAAGTCCGCCACCAAAATCTTATCCACCACCTCCTTCCACACAATCCCTCCACTTTCCGCGCTCTTCCCACCACCGCCGGGCCGCGTGCTGCCGCCATCGGAGTCGTAACCGCTCTCCTGCAGCTCGCGAAGCTCCTGATAGCTCGCCTTGTCGAGCCGCTCCATGACCTGCTTACGTGTCAACCGTTGCGCCTCCTCCCTCACTGTTTCGGCATCTACCGCCTCAAAATCCGTTGCTGCTGCCGAATCAGCTTCAATCTCGCGGCGCCATAGCTCCCTCGCGTCGCCTTTCGGGTCTGCTCGCGTCAAAATGGGCCGGATACTCGGGGAAAAGTGAGGCGCGACTTTACTGGTGGGCGAAAGGAGTGACAGCGTGCGGGATGCTGGAAATGAACATCTACGCGGCACAGTTATGCGTTGTGTTCTCGCACCATCGGTAAGAAAATTTAGCGGCATGACTCCTAAAGAACTGGTGAACGCCATGCTGTGCCGGCAACACTGTGCGTGTAACGACGCTGGACGCTAACAAAGACGCGTGATCAGAAAGATTCTGCCGCGCTGATGGAGGCAGGGAACACCTATTGAAGATACGGCTGCAGAATGTGAATTTCCTGACTCGTAAATCCCGTTGGTATCCCCCTCTGGCTGCGTTCTGCGGGCGCATCAGCCCGCATCAATGTACATTGATGCTTTCAACCATGGTTCCACGATCCTTCTGTGATAACCTGCCGATATGTTATCAAGGTTCGCGATAAGCGCATGGCCGCCGAAGCACAATTCTGCCGAATGCCTGCAGAACGGCCTTTTTGGCTTCCGAAATTTGTAATGTCACTGTGTTCCAGGAAGCTTCTTCTCCTAGCAACTTGTAATGTCACTGATGCGCGCATGATGCAACTTCGAAAACGAGCATCATGCGCGCATCAGCTGATGCGCTGCAACCTTATTGGCCAATCAGTTTGGCCAAGTCGAAATTTACCGAACAAGAAGCATCCGAGAAATCTATAACATCTAAAATGTGCGAGTTGGTCAGGAAATTGATTTTCTAATTTCCTGACCACAATTCAATTTCGTCAGATTGTCCGAACCTCAATTCGAAAATTCCGAACCTCAATTTCTAAATGTGCAATTCTTGAATTCCGAACCTCAATTTCTAAATGTGCGCATCAGGCCGAGCCTCAGACGCATCAGAGCTGATGCGCCCGCAGAACGCAGCCTCTATTTTTGCTGGCCCCGAAGATGCAGACCACGAATGTCCACAGCAGGATGCCGAGAATGGATGTGACGAAGAAATCCGTAGGAAGTTTTTGCGCCAATCGTAAGGAGCCACGCGTGAACATTCTTAAACACCCGTTGCAACGTGTTGCGTTCAAACACAGAAGTGTGCTCAGAACTGTACAGTGAACCAGCGACATACCACAAGTAGATGTGATACATACATGTGGGGTTATATCAAACAGCAAAAAGGAATATATTGTAAAAACGCACTTCAATCATTCAAAAATTGTGATTAGATGATGAGTCACTACCGGACTACCAGTCTTCTTTAATCTCAAAAGAGTAAGAGAATGTCAAGTGAACTTTGCCATCATCGTCAGTAAACTGCAGAGCGGGAGCACAGCAGCAGCAAGTGAATACTTAAGAACTCAGACAAGTCGTTAGACAAGTGGCCAATGCAACACTGCTTCTACATACAATAAAGAATTGGAATGAAACAGGCACACAAGGAAGGATGGACTTGCAACTCGCACCTTAGTCTCTGCCGTATATTTGCCACGGACCTCCTCTCCGTCAGGCGTTGTCTCTTCTTCCGTCACATACACGTACGGCTTCGCTTGAGGCGCATATGCTCCAAGCATCTCCTTAGAAGTATCCACTGCAACAATGTTGAGGATACAAAACAAACATGGACATCCATTACAGATGGTCGGAAGGGAGAAGAAGGGCAGAATGCAAGTATACCTGCACACAGGTAAAGCTTGCAGCACAGAACACAGCTTATAGAGGAAGTGATACCGAAGTTAGAAAAAAAATTAGAGAGCTAAAACTTCTAACTAGTTATAGAAGGAGGATGACGGCAACTGCTGGCATGGAGATAAGCAAAAAACAACTTCTGAAGGGTGGACTCCCCGTTCAGAGTATGTTTGTTCCACACACAAGAAAGAAAAGATACAAATTGCTTGATGAGAAGAACACTGCTTCGTGGCCCCTTGACCAACACACCATGTCCCGATAGAGATTAATTCATTTTCATTTCATGTACTGGTAACTCACCTTCATATTCGGTCACTCCGAATCAATGCCAAACGGAGGAACAATCCCAAATAAGACGCTCGAGCAGCTGGTGCCGCTTCGTGCTCACCTTGGTCACCGTCCTTATACACGGTGTTGACATACGTGAGGCCCAGCACCACGTCGTTCGCGACTGTAAACTCGAACTGCAGCCGGTACTTGCACCGCTCCTTCAGCTCGAAGCTCGCCGGGGTCGCCACGGCCTCGCCGTCCTTAGGCAGAGGAAGCACGATGGGGTCCCGCTCCTCAACGAGAAGCCGCACAGCAGAAAACTCGACCGCCGAGCCCCCTCGCTTGCCTGGCACGGAAAGACAATGCTGTGCTTGATAAGATCCCACTGGGCTACGGATAGCGGCTACATGAAAAAGGAATACGCGAAGACTGTGCGACCTTTGTCGTCAAGCGACAGTTCGCCTAGTAGGCTCTCCTTCCACCTTCGTAAGCTCTCGTCATCCTGAAACGAAGCACCGATATCCAGTCATCGCGCAGAAGAATGAAGAGGAGAACGGGTGAAAGGTACTGTGGAAAATAAATGATGAGTGCTAATACCAGAACGAACCTTGTCCTTTTCTAGCTGGTCTGTCAATGGAACGTGCTTGGAAGGAATATACTCCGGAATGTGTCCTCCGCTGCTGCTGTCGGCGCCGCTATTTTCTGCCATTCTGTCTTTCCAAAAGTCAGCGGTCTCTAAATATGGCGCAGCGGGTTACCAGCAAAGTTCCACCAGGAGAAGCTAGGGCAACTTAGTACTGTAGCAGAGGCTGAGTGGTGGTTGTTGGTGGGTAGGAGAAGACCGGGGCACGCTGGGAATAGGGGGCAACCCTTGCGACAAACACAGGGCATGAGACATGGTTACCGTGTCCCCCAAGTTCGTCAAACTGTTGTTGGTCTGTTCGGTTGGGGGCTGTCAGACCAAACCAGACTCAACTCAACATGTTGTCACGGTGTACTATTTGTTATGAATTTGTTAAGGGGGGATTTACTGTTCACTTTGAACAGTACTTTCCAAGTCACCCTTATCCTTATCTTCTCAGATTCTCTAGTGCCACGTGGCACTCTACTTTTCTTGCACTACAATTCTTGGTCCCACAATCCACTTTCCAACCTTGTTTCTTGCATGCTATATCAACCTTGCTTGTACTTGTCAAAATGAAGAATGGATGGTGCATTGATGTTGGTTGGGGTACATATAGCTAACCCTAAGTTTTGTACCCCCTAAGACAAACCTCACTATAGGCTACAACATTTGACACACCCCCATAGCCTAAGTGAGGGGTGTCTAGCAGAACCAAACGAGTACGGTCACAAGACCAGTCCAAGAAACAAGGCTCAGGGTGGATCACAACGTCACCACACAGTCTGAGCACAAACAACAGTGGCCACAAGGCCAGTCCAAGAAGTAACAGAGGTATATAGAAAGCAAAGTAAACAGTACACTCAAGTCTAAGCAACACGAGAACCAGTGTCAACAAGGCCTAACTGCACACAGCACCTCTGGTGGTCACAAGGCGGAAGCGCCTTGGTGAAGATGTCTGCAGTGTTGGCCTCGGACTCCACAAACTCAAAGCGAGCCTGTCCACGCCTCTGCAACTCTCGCAGAAGAAAGTACCTGACGTGAATGTGCTTCACTCTGCTCTCCAGTCGTGGCTCTCGACAAAGGAGAATAGACGCCTTGTTGTCAGAGAACAAGGTCGGTGCAGAGCTCGGCCGCTCACCAAGGTCGGTGAGCAAGAAGGTCAACCAACGCAGCTCCTGTGCCGCCATGGCACCAGCGTAGATCTCAGCCTCAGCTGTAGAGGTCGAGACCGAAGAGGAGCGCGTGGACCGCCAGGAAACAGCTCCAGAACCCAGGCTGAAACAGTACCCCTGAGTAGACCTGTGAGTCTCAGCGTCGTCAGCGTAAGAGGAGTCACAGTGACCAGTAAGTACGACAGACTGCTGCCCTCCAAGAACTAGCCCCACGCCTGACGTCGTCGCTAGGTACTTCGCCACCCTCACAGCTGCTGTCCAGTGAACAGGACGGTGTCTCCCTGGCGCAACAAAGCGCGCAAGAACGCTGAGAGGGAAGGCGAGGTCCGGGCGAGTACAAGTCATCAGGTACATGAGGCAACCCACAAGCTCTGCGTAGGGACCACTAGGCTCGAACGGCTCGTCAGGAAAGGGTCCAGTGAGTCTGTGGTCAACAGCAAGAGGTGTGCGCTGTACTGTGGAGTGCTGAAGCCCGAACCGCTGAAGGACCTGCTGCACCATGTGCGACTGTGAAAGTGTAATGGTGCGAGCAGCTCTGTCCCTGGTGATCTGCAGGCCAAGGTAGTGGCGCAGCTCACCAAGATCAGTGCAGGTGTGTCTCTTCTGCAGTTCGGACTTCACGTGTGCCAAAGCAACCCTGTCAGGGGTGGCGAAAACAAGGTCGTCAACGTAGACCAGAACAAAGAAAGGTGTGGGGCCACGACGAACGAACAGCGACGGGTCAGCAGAAGACGGCTGGAACCCAAGGTCAGACAGGGTAGAACGCAGGGTGTCGTGCCACTCACGAGGAGCCTGACGAAGACCGTAAACCGGTCGCCTCAGCCTCCACTGGGTCCCAGGAGGGAAAGAGCCAGTGAAGGCAGAGGGACGACGCAACCAGACCTCCTCGTGAAGACTGCCCTGAAGGAAAGCAGTAGAGAAGTCGAGAGAGTGTAACTCGTAGTCTCTCTGTGCTGCTACGTGTAGTAACACCCGAAGAGTGGTCATCTTCGGGGTGGGCGCGAAGGTCTGAAAGAAGTCAACTCCCTCGCGCTGACTGAAACCTCTAGCCACGTAGCGCGCCTTGAAGACCGGAGGAGATCCCGGTGGCCGCTTCACCCTGTAGATCCACATGCCGTCGACTACGTTCGCCCCCGGAGGGGGAACCTCATCGACGTAGGTGCCTGTGGATCTGTAGGAGGCCATCTCTGCGTCCATGGCAGCTCTCCACTGAGAGGCCCAAGGCCCTGACACTGCCTCAGCGTAAGTGCGAGGAGTCGGAATGTCAAGGGCGTCGGGGTCACCCTCAGGGGCGAGGAGCATGGCACAGAGATGAGGGGAAGCGGCCGCCAGGAACTCTAGCTCAAACTGCCTGTCCTCTAGGGCGTCACAGCCAAGGGCAGACACACCCCCGACGGCCAGAGGACTGGAAGGAGGAGCAGCCACAAGAGCGGTGGCGAAGTCAAGGCGGCGGGTAGAGGCAAACTCAGTGACTGCGGCAGTAAGAGCGGACACAGAGGACACAGAGGCACGAGGGTGAGTAACAAGTGAGGCGAGAACACGAGAGAGAAGAGGACGGTACGTGCGGTAGTAGTCAGTGACAGGAGTAGGGAGCGACGCAGTGAGAGCCGACTCAGGAGGAGACGGAAGCACAGACGGAGACGGACGAGGTGGACTAGAACGAAGTAAGGCAGTACGAAGGTCAGTGAAGGGAACAGGAGACGAGGGACGAGCACGAGGGGAGCGACGAGAGGCCCAAGTCTGAGAAGGAGGAGGGGACAACGAAGATAGAGAACGAGGGAAAACAGCGGGAGAGGGGTCAGGAGGAGGAAGCGGAGGACCAGAGACGGGAGGAGAGGGGGAGGAGGAAGGAGAGGGAGAGGGGAGACCAAGGGTCCGAAGACCCGAGACAGGAGGAGGAGACGGCAGCTGCTGCTGCTGCGGCTGCTGCTGCTCCAGCGGCTGCTGCCCCTGCTGCTGCTCCTGCTGCTGCTCCTCCAGCCGCTGCAACTCTCTCTCCTCTCTCTCCAACTCCAGCTGCTCCTCACGAGCACGACGAACACGAGCCTGGAACCTGGTCGGGTAGGGGTGGGGGGAAGGAGTAGTGTCCGGGGCAGCGGCAGCCCCAGAGTCGACCTCCGAAGCACCAAGCACACCACCCCCAGAGGCAGCACCAACACCAGCTCCAGACCCAGGCTCTCCAGAAACCGAAGGAACACCCTCACCCCCAGACGCAGCACCAGCACCCCCAGACTCCGCACGACCAGTACCAGCCCCCGGAGGAGAAGAGTCCTCTGCAACCCGCGGCTCAGCTCCAACTCCAGCACCCCCAGAACCAGAGACCTGTACAGGGACAGTCGTAGGACCAACCTCCCGAGAGGGAGCACCTACAGGAGGCGGTGAGGAAGACTGTGGGGAGGGAGGCTGTACAGGGGGGGCTACCGAAGGGGGAGGGCTAGCCTGAGACACACCAGACGGGGCTGGACCAGGGGGGGGAGGCTGTACCGGGGGAGCAGGCGGGGGAGCGGCTGTCAGGAAGAGGGGGGGGGGGAGGGACCGGGAGACCTCGACTGGGGTACCTGACGTAGTACGGGGTGGACTCCTCGAAACGGACGTCACGGGAGTCAAAGAACCGGTGAGAGGGAGGGTGGTAAAAGGTGAAGTCAGAGGAGTCCTCAGGGAAACCAAGGAAGACACAAGGAACGGCGCGAGGCGAGAGCTTGTCCGCGGAGGTGTCGCGGACAAGAGCCAAGCACCCCCAGACACGAAACCTCGACGCGACACCAGGGGACCCTGTCCAAAGACTGGTCGGTGAAGCCTCCGGCCGAGAGACGCGTGGCCAGAGGTTCAGCTGGTGCGCGGCGTACCTGACTGCGTATGGCCACAGGAAATGGGGGGCACGGGCGTGAGTCAAGGAGGTGCGGGCAATCTCCATGACCAGGCCTATGCGACGCTCAGCAACCCCATTCTGCTGTGGGGACTTTGGAAGCGTCCAGGACTGACGAATGCCCTGTTCGCGACAGAATCCAGCGAGAATGCCGGAGCGAAACTCGCCCCCGCGGTCGGAGTGGAGACAGCTGACACGACGACCACGAGTGTCCTGGGTGGTAAGCAACCACCTGATCAGCGTAGAAGTCACCTCAGACTTCCTCGCCAGGGGGAACACTGTGGTGTAGCGGGAGTAGTCGTCAACGACCACCAAAAAGAAACGCTCACGCTCAGGGCCAGGGCGAGGAGAGGGGCCCCAGACGTCCAAGTGCAGCGTCTCAAAAGGCTCGGTGGCCGGACGAAGGGAGGAGGAGTGAGGGGTGGCACGCAGCCTACCCTCGACGCAAGGACCGCACGGTGGTGCAAGAGACGGCGGCAGCGACGGCAAGACACGCGGGAGACCTAAGACCAGACGCTGACTAGACATAGCACGCAGACGTGGAAGAGAAGGGTGTCCCATCCGGTGGTGCCACAGAACGGTGGGGTGGGCAAGCGACCGACAGGAGCAAGACGCAGCGACTGGACTGGACGCGACAACCTGAGGGGACGGAACCACCTGGTGAGACGCAGGGAGGAGACTAGGGGGAGGGACAGGAACTGGGAGGAGTGGCCGCTGCGACGGCGGCCGCTGTGGCTGCGGCTGCGGCTGCTGCTGCTGCTGCTGCTGCTGCGGCTGCTGCTGCTGCTGCTGCTGCGGCTGCTGCTGCTGCTGCAGTCGCTGCTGAGCGCGCGGGCCAGTGTGAAGAGTGTAGAGACCGGAGCCCGGCTCAGCAGCAAAAGTGGCGAGGGGCTGGTAAGAGTCCCCGTCAACACACACCGCAGTCTCTCCAGAAGGCTCAAACCACACACCCACGTGCTGACTCACGAGGGGTCGCACGCCCACCAAGTTCCGGGAGAACGAGGGGACGTGAAACCCAGTGAGAGACCCAGAAGGAGCAGCCGGAC